ATCATTTAGACATTCTTAAATAATTTTAAATATTGCTTTTTTATTTTATTTTTATTATCTGCTATACTATTATATGTAATATATGGGAGTCCGCCGTCTATGGTTTATTAACTGATACTGACTACGGTGAAAACTGATAATAGCTTAAATGCTGAAAGATTTAATATTGGATAAATTGGATACTCTTTACTTGCCAACACCAACTATGTATAATTCCTTCATGTTTTCTTGTTACGTCTGATACTATGTAATATCAATTTAGTTATTTATTCTGAAAAGTCAGTCATTAATCGCACATAACATTTAACTTATTTCTGAAAACTTGAATCTTTTACTTTTCTGAAATCATCAGTACATTTTTGTTAAGTTTGATTTTCTTGTTTTTTTTTTATTGGCTCATCTGGAGACATGCAGCTCGAAGTAAATGTATATTGCAAGTCGAATCTGAACAAAAATATTCTGTGTTGTTTTATTATTATTGTATTTAAAACTCTGTGATTGTATTTGTTTGAGTTCTGTTAAGGAGTTCGGGTTTTTTTGTTGCCTTTTTTGCTGTTGCTGTTTTATTTTGTTTTTGTTCGGCATTACTGAATAGGCATATTTTAAGGTATTTGTATTATTTGCCACAGACGTGTTGTAGACAAATAGAGTGGCAACTCTTAATCAACTTTAATTAAACAAAAACATACAAGATGTATTACCTTCCTCGCAGTCGATCAGTCAATTGTCTATGCTTAGAATCCTTACAAAATCTAATTCTTGAGTACCAGGTAAGAAAGGAAAACGTCTTATACCGTGGAAGTTAATTAATTACAGACCTTCCGTAGATAGATTGAGTGACATCTTGTTATCTCAGTAACTAAATTTAGATCCACATTGTAAGCAAAATAAACTACGTGATACAATGATTCAGACGCTTATAGGGGCTATTGTTTTTGTTGATTTCTTTTTGTTACTTTTTTATTATTGGTCTAGTAAGGGTAATGTTATTATGTATATTTCTTATTGTGATTTTTTGTCATGTTATTAGCATTAATGGTACATTATATTCTGCTATTTGTAGATATGTTAATGCGCTGTAACGGGTTATTTTTTTGTGTTAGCATGGATATATCATCGTCTGAGGTTATACATGTATCATTGTCTTATACGGGGTTATATTTTATTTTATTAGGAGTTATATTGTTGTTGTGTCAATAAAATTTATGTTATTTTTGTTGCAGCCATATCTTTTGATGGAGGGAAATGTTGCCTTTCAAAAACTTTTTTATTATCATTTATTGTCTCAGAAAGGCAAAGGTGATAAAAACAATTTGTTTAAATTTGTGAGCTTATGTATGATAGCTACCTCAAAAGATGACATCAAATGTATTAACTGTTTTCCTGAAATGTTGCGGCACACATTTAAAAAAAACAATAGGGCCGTTGATCTCGTATTTTATTCATTTGGCATATAAAATATACAATTATTGTAAAATTTTGCTAGTTTTCTTGTCAAATTACGCAGCAAGGTACGAAAATAAAACCAAGACAACGGTTTCGATCAGTATTTTATTTCATTATCACGTTTATAAACATATTAAGCTTTCTTGGTTTAGGTATTGTATACAGAACCATATTTGGAATCTTAATACAAATCAAACATTGCGATGCTCTCAGCTTTGTTACAAAGCAAAGCTATTCGTTTCAATAAATCTCATAAGTTTTATTATTTATTGAAGGAACACGACCACTTCAAACCTTATGTTGCCAGATAAGTGCATCTCAATGAACGTCACACTTGTTTGTACTCGACATTTCTATTATTAATAAAATGAAGATTTATTGTTATAATCGCAATCTAATTCTAGATGTAGTACAGATAAACTTTACGTTTCCAATAAAAGACTCAGTTGCAAACATATTCAAGCAATATTTTGATAAACGTCCTTATATAAATATATAGAATACGAAAGAAAAATAGATCATTTTCTTACTTTGCTGACATTATTTAAAGTTTTTTTAAATGTATGAAATTCTAAACATACAATGCGAATAATGTCTTATTAAATACATGTATAACAACAAATGGACTTATATAGTAACATATCGTATAAAATGTGCTCTCATTGTTTACTGTTTTTTGTTGTGTTTTTTTGTTGTGTTTTCTTTGTTGTTTTTGTGTTGTTTTTTTTTTTTTTTGTTGTTTTTTTTTTCATTCTAATTGCTTTGCTTTTTGGAATCTACCTATGTAACCAACATCAGCCGGTACAGCCGTGCCGTGCTAATCATGGTCTGCAATGTTCGCTATTCAGTCAGTATGTCTGAAAATGATGAATCATTTTGTCCAGATTTAAAGTAATGGACAAATTTATTTAAGATATTAAGCATGATAACGATTGAGATGTCTTATGAGTGTACGAGTCTTAAACTAAAATTAATGGGTGACAATGATTTATATAAAGTTATTGCCCACCCGCTTATTTCAAAAGTAGAGCTTAAAACTGATACTCCTGGGGTATTTGGTTCGATCACCGAGCGAAGCGTATTATTTCCGTGGCAATTGGTGTCTGACATTGAGTCTAATGGACATTTGTCTTAGAAATCATCTAGGATTTATTGTCGAGTGCTTGTGGAGAATTACTGGAAAGCCAGTTAAGTAGATCGATCACTGAGATATGACGAACAACTTTGTTACTTTCGGAGTAAAATCCAGAAAAACAAATGAACAAATAAAGTAATGGTAGAACCTGACATTAAGTAAAAATCTGTTGCAAATAACGTTGCTTGCTTCATTCAAAAATATTTTTTTAATAGAGAGATCAGTTGTTAATCCTTGCAAAGTGTTATAAATTTCATTCCTGATTTGTCATTTTGGATATTTTTCAAAGCGTCTTCATATTTCAGATTTATTTATTTGCAAAGCAAGTGCTATTGTAAAATTTAATTACTGTAAAACAGAAGTTCAGCGCAATATGTCATGAATTATTAATCTTTGTTTTTCATTCAATTGGAGCGACGATATGTTCTTTAATTTAACGTGTAAACTATAGTGCTGAAATAAAAGAATGAATCTTTGTTTACTGATATCCTCTAATAATTATTTACATATACGTATTTCTAAACAGCCTTTAGAAACAGAGGAAAAGGTACAATTTGCTCTCTAACTTTATAAATTTAAGATACTTTTCATAAATTCGATATTGTCCAGTGATTTTTTTTTCTAAACACATTCAATACAAATCGAGTCTTTTAATGTATTTCGATTGCTCCAGAGGGATCTGAGTAATCTTTCTTTTTTTTAGAATTTCTAGAAGATTTTTGTTCTTAGCCAAATTTAACAACTGCTGTATTGTATAATTTCCTTGATGTTCAAGCAATCCATATGCCTAAAACAAATAGCATTTTATAAAGCCAACTTTTAATGCGGGTGAAAACTGTCCGCTTTTAAACCTGGTATTACAATACAATGTTAGGGTATTCAAGGCATTGGCTGCGCTGTCTTAACTTGTCATACTTGGTCGGGGAAATGAATTGTTTGATTTCTTATCGTTCAAATATAAAATTTATAAAACGAGAAAGAATGTAGTAGAAAGAAAAGGAAAAGTTTTCAAGGCTGGCTTTTTGAAAATAGCTTGACCGGCTTTAGAATGAATATGCATGGGGTAAAGACGTTGTAACCAGCATAAGCTAATCCATGATCTCTCTTCTATGGTTATAAAGTCAAGACATTACTTTGCTTTATTTTGTTGTTTTGATTTGATGAAATTGCAAGATTGCATTTCAGTGCTTACCATTGTTTTCTAATTGACTAAGTTATACTTTATAAATGCTTCCTTATTGCTTTATTACTGCGTTAATATTATTTTCTTATTAATTTATATGGCTATACACATGACTTAAGGGCAAATAAATATGTATACATTTTAAGAAAAGATACATTAAAGATTTCGATGTTTCGACTGACCCTAAAATTGTGTCATAACTGTAAAAATAATTAAAGATAAAAAGCAAAACAGATTGTACATCTTTAAAATGTCAAAGAACTGTTTTTATGAACAGAAATACTGTTTGGTGTTTTATTCTATTTGAAAATCAATTACAGCTTTTTTATTTAACTTGTCTAATAACAGTGCTGGAGCCGACACTTGCTTTTCAGGAATAAAAAGTACTACAGGCCACTTAGTCATAATTTAAAAAAGGACTAGACTAGACAGGACCTAGATATAATTTGGAACAACTTTTTCAACCATTTCATATTTTCATTCTTAAAATCATATATTTATTATGCCTTCTTCATCTCATTATGTAACTTTCACTGCTTCCATAATTTGTCTACCAAAGGAATCTACTATTCTAACGAAAACACTGTTTACGTATAGTGAAAAACTACCAATGCGACTCAGTTTTTGTTTGTGACATTTGCAATCAGTCATTTTAGATTAGTAAAAAAGATTCTTAGTGGAAAAAACACTATGTTTCCTCTAGAAGACTTGTGTCTGCATTAGAAGAACACTTCAGCCAAGGTTAACACAGAAAATGGATAACAGTATTATACACTGATAGAGATAAGGAAACGATTTGTAACAGTCACTGAAAATACGTCTGAAATCTCGGCACAATTAATCTCTTTTGATACTTGCACAAGAAGAGAAAAAATGAAATTAACACATTATTTGTTCCGACAAAAACTCATTTTGATTAGTCTGTTGCCATCAGCAAGTATGTACACAATTTACATAAGCAGGCCGATTATACCACCTGACGTAGAGAAGAAGGTGAAAAAATGCACAACCGTGAAAGCACGAGATTCACATGAGTTTTAAATGTTTACATTTCCACTGCTTACATGATTCATCTCATACAGAGATGAATAAAGTTGTTATTGCTGCTATCGGAATTTGCTCTTCATACCTAGAAATGAAAATGCCTTTCTATTAAAAAGTCCATCTTTGTTGAAATTTTGAACAAAATACTTTATCTTGCACAGTGTTTGTTAATCTGTCTTTTTTATTTCACAGGTAACAGGTGTTATTGCTGTTAGATATACTGCAGATGGTCGTGAAATGTAATCAAGATATCAACAAAACTAAATAATGGTGAGTTCTTAGATGTCATTATAAATGAGTGTAGTATGTTGAATTGTCATGACTTACATGTTTTATCTTGTTTGAATCTTGTAATAATAAGCAGTGTATGATTTACAGTTAATTTACCAGTCTTGGTATGACGTAAAACATTACACATGAGAAACATGCAGAATTATTCTCAGACATTTTGAATAAAAAATTACAAAATGTAGCTTCTGATGATATAAAGTATATACTTAGCTTAACTAGACTAATTTATTCTATACGTTACTTAGTATTTACTTAGCTTGACTAGACTTGACTAGACTAAATTGATTCAAGTTCTAACTTAAGTTGTTATTATTGATTGCCATCTTGTCTATGTTGTCAAAGCGTCTCCTGAAATTGGATTTATGGACAGACATAAGCAGGTGATAAGTGTTAAACAATGACTGTATTTGTAAATTTTGAGAATGCAGTGTACCCTATTCTTGTAAATGTTTAGACACGTTTAAGGTCCGTTTATTTATAATGTCTTTATATTATCTTTTACAATTCTTAGTTTTACGTAAATAACATACATAACATAATAATATAATGATGTTGTTGTATTAGTAGATATTTTTAACTATTTATTTACGAAGGCTTAAACGTAAATACCTTTCTGGAAAAGGCGATGATTTTTTAAACATGGTAGCGTTTTGTTGAGTCATTTATAAATGGAATTGTTAAAACAAATTAAGAGGTGGGTCTAAAAATATGCAAAGAACAAATGGAGAGAGAGAAAAAAGCAAACAAAATATATGTTTTGGCACAAACTACGGTAAGATAAAGAAAAAGAGGTAAAAGCAAGAAAGGCTGCTTTTTTAAAATACTTCAAATATATTATCAATCAGTACTAAACATTAATAAAAATTGGTCCCACTCATTGCTGAAATCGTCGAGATTGTTTGGTATTTTCTTTTTTGTTTGACAACTCTATATATTATATTTAGCAAAGTAGAGAATATATAACATAATCTTTTTGTGAATGAAAAAAATGACGAAAATGTGTCTTGATTTTATGAATACCAATTTCAACTTACCAATTAAAGAATTCATTCCAAAGATTTGTGTTTGTTGAAAAGTCCAAAATATATATATTCTATACTATCTGAAATCACAAAGGCTAGATATAGACTAAGGTATATTAATCAACTTTGACATCAAAATTGTTAAAGGAGCTTCACTCCACTAAGGTCCGAAAGCTTGAAAAGCATATAATTTGAAAATGTAACACAGATAAACTAGGACATTGAAAACAGAAAAATATAAAAAGGATAATGAAGAAATTACTTGAAATTTATTTGAAAATTGATGTTTATTTCGATTCATATTCCGATTTGAGCTTAAGGCGATTAATTATTTCAGGTAATTTTGAAGAATGAAAATGTAAATTGATAAAAAAAACGGAGTGATAGATCTGAAATACGAACAAAGTGACTTGCATGTGTCTACATGAATTGAAATTAAAAAATATTTTTAAAAAAATCCTGTCGCGTTATGTCAAAAAACCATGAGTTGAGGTCCTTGAAGATAACTACTATTTAGTTCAATAATTATAAGTAAAAGTTGTAAAGGCATTATATTGCTAGTTTCCATACAGTTGAAAAAGATATTGACGTGGAGATAACCTTCGTGATTTTGTTACAATAAAGATGAAAGAAAAATGAAAAAAAGGATGATTCAAGAATAACTTGCAGAAAGATTTAAAAAGCCGGTGCACTCTTTCACATATTCTGCACTTTGTTTTAATAGCTCACAAATGACCTTTCTTGTTATATCCTGTACGTACTGTATTTTATAATATTTCCTGTTCAATATTGAAATTATCAATAAGGAAAAAAATTATTGAATATTAGCTATATTTAGAATTTTATCTGATATTGTTACCATATTAGAATTTAATCTGATATGATTTTGTATCCTACTTGTCACTTTGACACACTGATTTAGTATCACTTAGATTAGAAACTAGGTAATACTTCATTTATTACAAAAGGGTCAGGTTCAACTGAACAGATATGAAATATTACGACAGGGGAAGAAAAATGACTTTTTAATATCTGAATTTATCTATTGTGATGAAATAAAAAGCCTTTTTGAAAATGTGTATACTTATCCCAACATTATTTTTATTAAAGACGAGTAAAGATTACAAAAGTATTTTTTTCTTTACTTGTTAACAGTTTTGTTATTGCTATTGTATTTCATATATTATATAAAAACAATTATTTCTTTATATGATATGTAAATACAAATATGTACGTTTTGTAGGAGTCTATTCAAAAGAAAGGACGCACTTTTTCTTTTTTGTTTTCACTTATACTTCTGTGTCACGGTGAGAAATAGGACCTTAAACTATATCTGATAAAATTCAAAATATTGTATTCGAGATGCTCAGATTTTATACTATATGTTTGTTTAGTTGTGAAATAGTTAAAATAAACCATTAGGTCGGCCGAAAGAACAAAACTGAAAATGTTGCAGAGTTCGGTTTGATTGGGCTTGTTTATGGACTGCAGTGGCAAATGCTAGCTATCGTTCGCATCCTCTAGCACACGCTGAAGCAAACATCAACATTTAAACATAAAAATAATGTTAAATTAGGCTTTATTTTGTAATGCTAAACTAAAACGTTTACCAATATATAAAATTTACCTTCAAAGCTATCGAAAAATTTTGATAGGTAATATTTTTGGTATTGAAGTATTTGTGTTTTAAGAACTAATTTGTCTAATCGTGTATAACAATAGGCATACTGTTCATAGTAGTATGATGATATAATACGTGTCAAGATGGAAGGAACACATACATACTTACATATGCTATCTTCTAGTATATAGTTAAATAGAGATAAGAGAAATATTAGTCATAAACTTGTCAATAGTCACGTGATAAACAAAGTTTAAAGTGACTAATGATTGCTTAGTGGTTATCAGGTGAAGACAATAACATTTAAATGGATTGAGTATTGAATTGAAATCATCGGTTTTATATATATATAATAATTTAATCAGTGTTTTAACTACAAGGTACTGTTTCACAGAGGGTCAAAGTGATAACAACAAAGATTAAATTGAATAACAATTAAAGCGATAGATCACTTAAAAAGTAAATCAATGTCAATAATAAGGCAAACATAATCACACAACAATAAGTGGGGCTTAGCAATGTGAATAGATAAAAGGAAGAACAACAATTGGTAAGGGAGTTTAATGTGTATTGTTTGGACATAACTGATTTATGAATTTAAAGGTAAAACTTACCAATCTTTTACAATAGTAACAATCTATAATAGTTGTTTTTGACATATTTTTGTACTGTTTACTCCTTAGCATACAGGTTTGCCCTGCTTTGAATTTGAAGCAATCTATCTAGAGTTTAAGACAGTACAATATTAAAACACTTAAAATGAACTATCAACAGTATAGTGTCTGTTTAGACTGCCAGCGATTCGTCCAATTTGTGTATGACATCTGTGCACTGTCCAATGGAATCTAGTATTGTACATGTATCCAACAAAATATAGTTTTTATGATTGAATGCTTCATTTACAAATATACTTAATTATATACTAATGATAAAAACTTATTATTAATCTCTCAAGATGCATGTATCAGATAAAAGAAATATTTTTTTATTATTTATGTATTTCTGCCTGTTCAAAGTTAATATTATGCCATTTTCAATATTCTAAGAATTTGATTTAAACAACTGTTCATCGGTAAACAGAAATAAATTACTGCCAAAACTAACAATAAAAAGTCAGTAAGTAATAAAATAATGATGTATTTGTCTGACTGCCTTTTAAGTTAAAATTATTGCAGTGTTTTTATCTCCATTATGGAGTTATATTGAACAAAATGAATACGTATATTTCACTTCACTTGTTTATCACCTTCTATTATCTGTAATGACTGTAATACTAAACCACAATACCATCCTTAATGTGTTGTAATAAGAAAGTCTGATAGTTGTAACATTTATTATATTTAACATTACAACTGTGAATCGATGTTCATCTCCAAGGCAATTTATCTTGTTGAATTATATGTCTATAAAAGGACTTTAGCATGTTATTTAAATTCAAATGATTCAGATTGCATGTTTAATGGAGTATGAGAAATGTGCATTGTGAACGAAGTACGAGAATTAAGCATCCCTTAAAGCCAATAAACAGAATTACAAATGTTTTATCTTGGTGTGTTGCTTAAAATGAATTAAACTGATACGCAACTCCATTGTTGTCGTCACTAAATTCCGTGCCTTGTGTTTTGCATGCGAAGTTAATAACGTTTGTGATTCAAATATTATGCTTCTAAAGTAACCAAATCGATGATATTGAATTTCTTTGAAAAACGTTAATCATTCAATTTTTCGTAAAAGACGAATAATTTTTACTTTGACTACTTTAATATTGTTAGACCTGGCTTATATTTATGTTTTTAGGATCTCTATTTGGCCTAATGGTTAAACTCGCTGACATGAAAATTAATGTTGTTCCTTTTCCATTGCTACTTTAGTTTTGCCAGTAATGTTGAGTTCTTTTTTATTTTAATTTTCAAGCAGAATAACTTAGTATACTTTAAGTATTATTTTTTTAACTTTTACCTTAACGATGTCAGCAACAGCTGAAACGAATATGTCTTTTCATTTCCTCTAGCATGCACTTTAATTATAGAAATAACCAAATCATCTATTTTTCCGGTGGGGGGACAATGACCTTAATTTATTATCAGAAGTCACGAAACAATTTGAAAACAACGCTTTAAAAGTGCCTCTTTAAAATAGTTATTGCATTCTTGCAAAAAGTACGTTCTCTTGGTTAAGAATATTACCTCAAAACACGAAACTTCTAAGAATAATAATACAATACAAATGCATGCTTTTAAAAGTTGGAGAATCATGTGTAAGAATAAACATGATAAGAATAAAGATGTTTACAAAATACCGTATTAGGGCGTACATCGAAATACCGCACTGTATACCCAATTAGGGCCAATAACAAAATTATGCAATGTGCATACAGCTAGGACCTTTAGCGAAATACAAACGAGTTATGAGAATTTGAGAACATGTAGTGTTTTTACGTTCATTTCAGAGTGTCGCAATTGTGAGCCTTGAAGATCAGAACAGAATAAGAATTGAGAAATATCAGGAGTGTCAGACCCTCATATCTCTGGAGGCATCGAATAAAAGCGGTAAGTAAGAATCATTTCCAGATAGCCATTTCACCACAGTATAACTCCATACTGAAAACAGTATGAACTTGTTACTTTTGTAATCATAAATCATTACCTTTTTTGTATCTTTTAATAGATTCCGAAAAAGTACTCATACAGATTAATTATATTCCGCTTCCTTTGTTCTTTGACCATTGGTATTAGTATAGCGAGTAAGTGTTTGTATGGAACTCAAAAATGTTTTCTCTTAAAGATTATTTTTCTCTTCTTCTTGTTTATTCTTCTTTTTCGTTTTCTTCTTGCTTTTAACTTTTTAATCATCATTTAAGAATATGGAAGAGATTTTAATCACTTTGTTTATTTAAGAATTGCAAAGAGACAGTATATTTATTATCAGCAAGGAACCAACGTTGTTACAACTTTTAAATAATCGAAATGATTTCCCAGAAGGGTTTTTACTTTGAATTTATTGATAACACTTGTTGATAGTTACAGTACCTATCTTCTAAACATATGCATTGAACGTTAATGAAATTTCTATTCTAAGGTAAAAATAAATATTATTTTTATGGAAACAAAGCAAAATATAAATTAAACAAGTAAAATAGATGTTCCAACAACTTAGTATTAGATTTTATATACGGGAATTATTTTAGCTATAGCTGATATTTTAGTGATATCCTAATTGGTATATTTAATCTTTTTTCAATAGAGGGGTAACTGGGGGATCTTTTCTACCATGGCCAATGTTACCCTATTTACAACAACAACAACAACATAAACTTTATTAAGCTCAAGCCATGATAACAAGCCTGTGAGCATACAGCGAATGACACAAAGAAAAATACCTTGTGGGGTCACGTGACAGATTGTTTGCTTAACGGGGTTGACAATAGTGATAGTGTGTTACTCCATTTATTATTTTGAAAAGGACTATAAATTTTTGTCCGGGAATGTTCCATTTTTGGATATTGGGTGGCTAAAACTAATTTAATAGTCTACACTTTTTAATAGTTATTTGAATTTTGAACACTATAAACACCATTTTATATTGTTTTTAAATGAAACAGAGTTTAATTGTATTTGTGCAGCCTGAAGTATATCACTGCATCGAAACCGCGCTATACCCAAAAGGTAGTGTAATCGTCCGCTGTGTAAAAGCCAGGTAACTTCGCGTAAAATGTGTTAAGTAATATAAATAATTTGATAAATGATTATCAACGAATGCTTAGTTAAAATATTCAAAAGATGGATATATACTGTTTTGAAACATCTGGAAGTATTCACCATTTGATCATAAAAGTATCAGTTTAGCTAATTTAGCAGAAGACCGAGAAATGCATAATGCTATTAATGTGGATGCCCCTTAAAACAAGCAAAACGTAACAAAGCAAAAATTAATACATATCTGTGTCAATGTAATACTTGATAAAGAGCACAAAGTAACTATGTTGAGGATTTTTAATGTTTGAATAGTCTTATCATTAGCATTATTGACATAATGTTAGTTTACAGAGCTTTTTCTTGGTGAATAACAAAAGGTCAAATAGCTTTACCTTAATACCATTTTTTCATATTTAATTTAAATAGTTAAACATATGAATGTATTTTGAATTTGTCGTCTGCATAATTATTTTTATTTCTTTTGTTAAAGTACTTTTATTGATAATTCATTCTAAGAACGTGACCGCGACTCAGCAATATTTGATATAACATAAACAATTATTTAGTCGCATATGAAATTCATTGAGTCTGTCTTTAAATTAATTTTATTATTCAGAAACATGACGTATTTATAAACAAGATTTATTTCCTAAATTGCCACAGATTAAATTTTAAAAAATCAGTTAGAAACAATGTTTTGAACGAGACAATTTATTCTAAATTAGAAACATTATATACAAAAACACCCACGATGTTTTTCACAGACCTACGAAATGAGAACATGATAGTGCATTAAGGCAATGGACTGAGGACATACTAAATAATTGAATAATTCTATTTGATAATTTGCTGTTTAGTGTGTCTAATTCATTTGAATTTTTTAATTCTATATAAAGAGATATTCTACATTGAAATTTAATTCATATATATAAAGATTTACCCTAAATATCAAATAAAGCATGTAATATGTGGACGATATGTTGTAAAAATGTATTTATTTCATATGTGGATATATTTCTCAACTTAATATCATTAAACGCCGGAATGTTTTCTGAAGAAAATTTTCATTGTAAATCGGTTAGTTTAATTTGATTAACATTTTGGACCATTGTATTATTTCCCAGGACAAAAATAATAATTTGTTTATTGAGAATTTGTCAAAAAATAAACAATCCCATAGTTTTTATTGTGTCTATACCTATTGTCTGTTTTCGAAAATGTTAAATCAACAACCACTTACTCGTGTTACTTGTATATTAAAAATATTTTAAATTATTGACGTAACTCTTTGTTCATACTAGTATGAATTACATGATGTTCATGTTTGTCAATGTAATAGATGATGTAATAGATATTAAAAATGTTTTTCCTTTTTGTTTTTGATTGTATTCATATTGCGTATATATGGTGGATTGAAATAAAATATTGTTGAAACTAATATTCCTCTCAAATAAGAAATTAACGTGGTAAGCATTGGTGTGATACAAAATATAGAAAAAATAACTTTTTGAACTCTCTAGGTTAACAATACACTTTGTTTTTGAAGTTATAAATTTTCGGAATATTTATGATAATAAGTAGTTTTGATAATTATAATTGATAAATAGAACAATTATCATTAGCATAACTATGTTAAATTGATGTTTTTCGTTGGCATGGTAAAGGTCATACCATAATTTTTATTCAGAATTTATATTCTGTCAAATATTAAGGTAAACACAGAATCGAACATTTTTTATTAGCGTATTCATCATGTTTTTATCAAAAGCACATCAAATAACCCTTTCATTGTTGCAAAACTGTAAAATAGAACTGAATAAATGACCACCTATCTTTATATGTTAAGCAATCATGATGAAAGCGATATGCTTCTTGAAACTTATTGAATGTTGTATTGAATATTTAGGAAAAAAAGATATGGTGAGTAGCAATTTAAGAAAGAACAAAACAAAATTGCTTCTTACCATATCTTTTTTTCTAAATATTCAATACAACATTCAATAAGTTCCTTTGTGACAGCACTTGTATTCCAAAACTTAATAAACTATCCTCCATGTCCAAATATTTGCGCTGCTATATGAAATATTAATAACATTTTAATTGTAGCTATAGTCAAGTGATATTTGTCTCAAGAAGTAAGCAAACTGTGTCTATGTTTAACGTATGGTAATTCTAGTTGTGTAAAGAACAAACTTTTGTACACATCTACTCGAGAACAAAATTGTGTACATATCTACTTGTCAAATTTAATGATTTTACGCGTTATCTACATATAATTTGATTTTTCTGGCATTAAATGACTATTTATAATTTACATTGTATAATTATTGCCATTATCTTGCAAAAAGAAAAACGATAATTATCATTATTATAATACATGGCGCAATTTTATGTTATTAGTATTGTTTGGGCCATTTATATTGAAATTGTAGTATTATTTTTTACAGAACACTTTTTTACTGTGCCAGATTAGGATCGATGAGATGTCCTTTAAAATAACTAAGGATTCTACAATCAAGAATTTTCTTTTACATTTTCGTGTGTTTACTTGCAACCAACGCCTTAAAGTGTATGCAATTCTCTGAAAATCAGATTCATTCATAATTTGTAAGAAATATATCACTGAAAAGCTTTGTTTGTTTTACACTTGATATATTTGATTTGTAATCAGGAATGTAAATACCAAACCAAAATTAGCATTCAAATCTAAACAAGGCGCATATTACGTGTCTTGATTATTGCTAAGATTTACACTTAATGAACTTTATTTATGGCGTTAAACTAAACTACGTTAAACTAATGTTTAATGACCTTTGTAAGGTACTGCCCTCTCTCATCTTTCTCATAATGAATTATTATGAAATTACAACGATAACTCCCTTCTAGACACAACTGACAGAAATTAAATGTTTTTGACTCCTCAATTTTATACAGCAATGATCTTAATTCAAATCGATGAAATATTTTTCATTCAGATTTCAGTTTTTTTTCTGCACACTAATCTATTTTGACCAAAGTTGAAGGGCAAGCGGTTTTTTACATACAAATAAAGTTATAATTTATATATCTATCTGTATCCTGCCGAAATGGATTAGAGATTTTATACCATCTGCATTTTTCATTGGACATCAGAGATGTTGACATGACTGTTTCATTTGCTCCATCATAAAATGTCGTCGCTATAGAATATACTTTGTAGTTAAGAGATCTCTTTATCTAGAAAGATCAAGTTAACGTCTTAGTAAACAATGCCGGTTTATTCAGCTTCATGCTAATTTCGTTAATGTAAAGTGACATTTCTTGTGGGAATGTGTCATTTGTTTTAGTCTTGTTATATTACAAAATTGAAACATTACATTTGTATTGCAAATCTTCTGGATATAAGGGTTTTACTTTTAGTGCATTACGTATAAAGATAGTTTGCTGCACATTTGTAACTGCTTGCCAGCTCTTGCCTGAAATAATGGCACGGAATGGCACCTAAGGTCTTCCTCCACAAGTAAAGCTGGAACGTCACTATACGAGGTATACTGTGTCGGTGCGACATATATCACAATCAAACAAACGAACGAAATTGTAACCGCTTATTTCTGAACTGAAAAGAATCATATTATATATATATGCATGACGTCTTCTATGTATATAGATAAAATTTAATATCATGCAATATCGTTGAAGTAATGTAGGCTCGGATCGTGAAGTGAATTTCCATTTTGTCACATGACACATATGATGTTAGTCTAGCTTAGATTTTTTAATCAACATTTAACGTATGAAAGTGATTTTAATCACTTTGTTTGTTTAATGCGATGTATTTCAAAGAGGGGTTGTTTATATTATCAGCAAAGAACCAA